TTGCTACGCACCATAAAGCTTTCTATAGACTTTCATAAACTTAGGCCTACAAAATTCCTTTGGCTATTAAGTTAGCCCACATTGAACTTGAAGTCATTTCTTTCTTAATAAAGATAATTCCTAATTTGTGTTTTATTTCTGTTTAATAAGGTAAGTTTTTATCTTAATCTTATAATATGAATTATTTTAAGAATAAATAGATTTGATAGGTTACAATGTAAAATTTATTAATGAAATACAAATATAAGTTATTGGTTGAATTAGCTACAGGGTAAGTTAACAATGATGGTAAATTTTCAAAATGGTGGGGTTCCAAAGTGGATGAAAAGATTCTCTAGGCTTAGGCCTATATTGGGTTGGTTTCTTCTTAAGTACTGATTAATATTCAAATAGATGACCTCTTAATCTCAGGGAGGGGTGGTCGTGCCGGTTCGAATGATATATTAGGCTTCTTTAAAATGTAGATAATTTAATTTAGTTATTGTTCTGAAATAAGTTAAGCTAGGTTCATGATGCTATTAATATAATAATGTTAATGTCCAAAGAAAGATTCCAAATGGTTTCACTGAATTTAATGTAATAAAATAGAATTTGAAGATTAAATTTTGAATAAAAGTTCAATTTGAAATATGTATATATCTTGATGAGTTGAGTTAATTTGGCCTAGTAGGCTATGCTGATTAAATGTCCAATGAAGATTAAATTTGTCCTTAGTTAAATAAGATGGATGATGGTTACCAAATTTGGAGTGTCTGTCTTCTTATAAATTGGTACTCTTCAATGCACTTGTCCAATACTTTTGGATGATAAGAAATTTAAATTTTAGGTTTTACTTTGGGATTATGAATTTTAGTTTAAATTAAATACAATTTCCAATAGAATGATGTTCACACTGTGAAGAGTTGGCAGGATCTGGGGAGAGGCAATGGTAGAAGCTCAGGAAGTCCATGTCCATTGTTGAAGTGATGTACAGCTGGTTAATTTACATGAATGACACTTGCCCCAGTAATTTTGATTTTCTTTGGATAATTTTGAAAAATGATACTATATTTAAGATGTTATTACTATATTGCAATTTTCTTACAATTATATATTATTCTAAATAAATGATTATTGTTGGTTTTTGATGAGTACAGGATAGGTATGGAGAGAATTTGCATAAATATTATATTGTAACATAAAATAGGATGATGTTTCTGTGGGGTGATGGGATATTATATAACATTGAACAAAATTGGATAAAATAACACATTAACAAGGAGGAACATATTAAATAACTGATAACACATTATCGGGGGCATTAACAGACATTATGGGAGAAAATATACAAAATAAAAGAGAAATTAATGTTAATGATGAATGAATGACATGTAATATTACAAATTATCCCCACAGAAATCTGTATGCTATGAAATGAAATACAGATTTCGACAAAATATGAAATGGAATTATGAATCATTAATATGAATGATACTTAAAGATAGGTATGAATAACATTAAATGATTGATTTTCTGGATGATAGAACATTGGGTGATAATACAACAAAATTATAATCTAAGTTATGTGTAGGACAATAACATTAAAATGGGAAAATAGAATAGAGTGTTCATGGCCTGGCATGGGAAGAAAGGGATATTATAGCTGTTGTTCCATACTGTTCAATATCAAATAACTTTATTGTTTCTTTGTTATTAAGGAGATCACAGTTTATTAGTAAGTGAGTATTGTCTATAAACTTTATCACCTGGGTATTAGTTTATGGAAAACACAATTTAAGGGGTCACGCACTCGCGATTAAGGTCCATGGCACAATTTGGTTAGAGATGATGATGCACAAAAGTCTATTGATAGTTGAAACACATGATGAATTTTATTGATATAGAATGTCTTCAAAGGTAGGGTCATCATTATCTATCTCGTCGATCACAGCTTCTATTGCTCGGGTTGGTTCCAAATATTTCTTGAGGGTTGATATATGGTAGGGGCCGTATAAAACATCTTCATCTTCTTTAGTCACGTGGAATGTGGATTTTCCTAAGATTTTCTTTATAATAAAAGGTCCTTCGTATATTTCGAATAATTTTGCTGTCTCGCCATATATAGCTCTTGAGAGGTGGTGAGATCGGATTAAAACTTTATCATTAATCTTGAGGGTTTGAGGTTTTCGATTTTCATTTAATTTGGATGATCGTTTCAAGCGTTTTTCTTCAAGTCTTTGTCTTGCTAGGAGTAACTTTTGTTCAATGGGAGTATCACTATTGAAGGTGTTTTTAGCTAAATAGTTGTCCCAAAATCGTTGATCTTTGATTCCTAACTGAAGTTCATTAGGTGTATATCCTGTGGATTCATGATAGAGCTCGTTTAAGCAAGCATTTATATCTGGAATGAATTTTGCCCATTTTGTATGTTGGCAAGAACAATAGTTTCGCAAACACCTTTTAATTTCCCTTATTGGTCTTTCAGCGAGATTGTAGCATGGGTGATAAACAGGGCTGAAAATTAGCTCAATATTATGTTCTTCCATTCGTCTGATCCATTCTTCACTTTTGAATTGAGTTCCATTGTCTGATTGTATCCTTTTTGGGTATCCATATGTAGGAAAATGCAAAGTGAAAAGTTTATTTAAAATTATCTTTGTTGTCGCTCGTTGAATGGGGTACAGCTTTATAAATTTTGTGAAAATATCTATGACAATTAGGATATATTTTACATTTGATACACTGGTTGGTAGAGGTCCAATAATGTCTACGGCAACTTGATCATTCTTGCCAGTACAACGCACACCTTTTGCTGTGGCCATCAGCGGACAGTTGCTAATCTTACACCTTTGACATGTATCGCATGTAGAAATAAGTTTCCTAATTATTCTGTTCATGTTTCGGAAAATAAAGGTTTCTTGAAGTAGTTGAAAACATTTCTTGGCTCCACAATGTAAGTAGAATAGGTGACATCCCCACACAAGTTTTTCAATCATACAATTTGGTAATGCGATGAGCCATTTATTCTTCAGTCGTTGGTAGAGGGTATCTTGATGTAATCGAAAATTGGCTGATAGTTTTATTCCAATTTCGGATTCTGGTTGAAGTTCTAAAGTGTTAATAATGTGTTGGAGTTTAGGATCTCTTCTTTGGAGTAGGGGAAGGTCTCGTAAAGCGTCTTTTAGATTTTGATCTGGTATTTTGTCTATATAATGAATGGTTAATTCAATGGGGTGGTTGTATGAGATTGCTGGTTTATCGATGGAAATTCGACTAAGAGTATTAGCAGTTATGTTGTCAGTGCCTTTGCAATGTATGATTTTGAAGTTATATTCTTGGAGAATTAATATCCAGCGAGCTAGTCGATTATTTAGTAAGCGACAACTCTTAAGGAAAGTTAGGGCATGGTTATCGGTGATTATTGTTAGATTTGTTCCAAGGACGATATATCTAGCTTTTTGGAGACAGTAGATTATAGCAAGCAATTCTTTCTCAGTGGTGGTGTATCTTTGTTCTGCCGGTTGTAGTGTTCGCGACATGAACATAATTGCAGCCTTATCGCCATTTTCTCTTAACTGATATAGGTGACCACCGATTGCGTAGTCAGATGCATCTGTTTGGAGGTAGAATTCTTTAGTGGGGTCTGGATGGATTAAAGTGTTGGTTTGTAGGAAAAGTTGTTTGATTTTTGAAAATGTTTTATCATCATCTTCTGTCCAAATGAATTTATTTTTCTTAGAGGTTAATCTCATTAAAGGTTGTGTTGTAGCAGAAAATTTGTCAATGAATTTGTTGTATGTACTGCCGGGATTCTTCGGTTAAGGGAATCTGCCAGTATGAAGCTGTTAAGTCAATGCTACTTATAAATTTAGCACTTTTACACTTGCCCAAAATTTCGTTTACGCTTCGATTGCATTCGAAATCGGGAGTTATTATTTCATTTGCCCTGCGTGCATCGAGGCACAATCTAATCTCACCAGTCTTTTTGACGACAGGTATTATTGGATTAATAAAGGTACTTTTGCTTCTCTCTATCACATTTAATGCTTCCATCCGATCAATTTCCTTTTGAACTTGGTCTTGATATTGCTGCGGGACAGGGTACGAAGTAGTTTTAAAAATCTTAGGGTTTTCTACACGTAACTCATGTGTATACTTGTTGCATACTCCTGGCTGATCAGAAAAGATATGCTGATATTTATTTAATAAACTGCTTAATGTTTCACGTTCTTCTGCGGTTATGTACGTATTTGTTGCTAGGGAATTCTCTATTTCTTCTTGGGTTAATGTTTCATCTTCGATTGGATCTGTTTTTCTATTTTTGAAGTTATTTATTGTGCTATTAAATTTATTATATATTGGATCATCGTGATATACATCAAACGTTTCATCATTAAAATATTCATTATTTGGCCTATGGCTATCATTAATTATTAAGTGACATATTTGTCCCTCTTGGTTGCACATACAAAACTTCAAAGTAACATTGTGATTATTTATCTGCATATCTATTTCATTTGTGTTGAAATTCAGATCCATTTTAAGATTAGACAAAACATCTACTCCTAGTATTATAGGTTTTATTAGATTTGGTACAATAAGATATTCCAATGGCAAGGTGTGTTCTGCAATTGTGGTGGGAACGTAAATAATTCGAGAGACTCTTTTGGATCGCTCATTTGTAGCAGTTTTGATTACTGTGTTATTAACTGGAAATTCTTCAAATGGTGAAATTTTGGATTTGTTTTCACTGAACCAGGATTCTGATATACAAGTTATTGATGAACCAGTGTCGACTAATGCGTTTACTCTAATATTATTAAGTTTGATGCTAATTTCTGGGCAACTTATTTGAGTGAAATTTAGAGATTGATTATTTTCTGAATCATTTTCTAATAAGAAGTTCTTATCACACATTATACTTTGGGATTGAAGATGATTTATTTCATTACCGAGACTTTCATAAATAGGCGCTGTAATTTTAGAGTTAACTAATGATAATTGACCCTCTCGGTTGTCGCTTACAGCGCCGAACCGTTTTCCTGTATATTTGGTGCAGGATGAGTCTGTGGCTCGTAACTGTGTGATGATTGGTTATTTGGAGGAGCACTTGGCACGTAGTTATTTTGTCTCATTACTGCGCAAAGCTGAGCTTGTTCTTGGGTTGGGTGGTTTCTGTAGGTCCGTTGGTTGTTGTCACCGTTACGAGGAGGATATTTGTCTCGTTGATATGGTTTGTTTTCATGGTTTCGGTCGTAAGTAGGATGATTGTGGTTAGGACGGTAATTTTGATGGTTTGGATAACTTCTGTGTTGGTGATTGTTGTTGTATGAATTGTTGTGATATGAAGGTATCTTGGGTTGGTACGCTCTCTGATTTTCGTAGCGGCCATTTTGAGGATAATTAATTAATTAATTAATTAATTAATTAATTAATTATTAATTATTTTAAGATGGGGACGCCACTATGTGCGTATTTTAACCCAAATATGAGTGAAGGATGAGTGTAGGATGAGTGGCGCGATCTTGTAGTCTTGTTAGTGACTAAGGCCGACATGTTCCTTAGACACAGCTGTTAATTAATAGCCCATACAGCTAATGGCAACTAAGGGACCTACAGTTTATAGTGGAATCCGAACCACATTTTTCCTTGTAATTTACGAATTGGTCTAATTATCAGGATAGTACTGCGGATAGTCGTAGTACTCACTAGTGCGGACGTTAATCCACACCAGTGAGCATCGCATCCACAGTGCATCCCTATAAATATCCACAATTCGTGACCTCCTAGTAGCTGGATTACAGGACGACGCCACCCGTCCCAGTCTTGGGTTGTGTGCAAATGTTGCCACTGAACTGTCCAGTAAACAAAGTCTAAATGTTTCCCACTTATAGGTGTGTGGTTGTTGATTTGGAGTTGTCGGTCGGTTGTTGGATGAGCTGTTGTGATTCTGGTTGTTGGTGCGTGTCTTCTTTGGTCCGTCTTTGAGGTCTTCACGTTGTAGAAGTCTTTCTAATGCACGTACGGTGGTGATGTTTTGTACATTGATGCAGTCTTGTACGATGGAGTCAAATATCTCTGCCATCAGTGTCACGATTTCTTCTTCGGTTAGGCAAGGGCTCATAGATTGGAGTGAAATTACACGTTCTGTAAGGTATTCGCTGCGGCTGAGGGTACCATTTGACCGATATTTTTCTGATTCAATTTTGGCTCTTAAGCTGCGTTGTACTTCTCTTGACCAGTATTTAGCTTCGAATTCGTTGGAAAATTGTTCCCAGGAACTTAAGTCGGTCTTAACAAGTTGTAGCCATCTTGAGGCGGGACCTTCGAATGAAGTTTCTAGCAGGTCTTTGAGATATTCAATCGGGTCATAATTGCTGTTTCGCTCAAGTCCTCTGTCGTAATATCTTTTCAATTTATTAAGATATTCTTTTGGGTTGCCACTTCGGCCGTTGAATTTTGGTATTTGTCGGTCTTTCTCTTCATTTCCATTGCATATAATTTTGATTGGGCCTTGGAATTTTTCAAATGTTTTGCTCTGTTTGAGGGTTTCCACTTCTTGTTCACATTTAGTCAGATTTTGATTTAAACTTTGGATTTCAGCTTGCTGAGATTCTAAAGTTTTGTTTTGGATGGTGAGTTTTGGGAGAATTTCGTTTTGTATGATGGTCAAATTAGCTTTAGAATTCTGTTCGGATTCTTGCCTGGTTCGTTGAGAAAGTTCTTCAATTTTTTGGTCAAAATTCTGTTCATGCATTACCAATTGTGTTTTGACAGCAGATAGGATGTCATTTTGTCTCTGTTGATTTTTATTATCAGATATTAATTGTTGTTGTGTAAGATTATCAATGACGAATTGTCTCATTTGATCTTGTGATTCATCAATTTTTTGTGTGAGTTTTTCATTAAGTTTAATGATTTCCTCAGCTTGTGTTGTCTGAGTGATCTTAATTGAGTTTATTTCGATCTGGAATTTATTTTGACTTTCACGATTTTCTGAAATTTGAGTTTCTAGCGCGTTTCTGCAAGCTTGAATTTCTAGGCTATTAGCATCAATTTTATCATTGAAGCTTTGAGTGAGTTCAACTTTTAATTCATTGAGTTTGCTGTTGATTTTACTGTTAATTTCGGCATGGGATTCGTTAATTTTGCTGTCAATTTTAGCATGGGATTCGTTAATTTTACTGTCAATTTTAGCATGAGATTCGTCAATTTTGTTGCTCAATTTAGTGTCTAGTTTAGTCATGAGGGCAATTAAAGTATTAATATCTGATGGTGCAATTAGTGTTGATGTGACAGTTGCTGTTGCACCGACAGTTGCACTAGGGTTGTTCTGTTGCCGTGTTGATAGGTCTGGGTGACGTTCGTCGGCGTCGGCTATATTCGGTAACGATCGGCTGTGTTCGGGTGCGGGTGTCTGAGTTATTGATCCGCTAATGTGACCTTGGCTATCACCTGGCAGTTGGGAAACATTTAGACTTTGTTTACTGGACAGTTCAGTGGCAACATTTGCAAACAGACTTGTAGGAATGGGAATACTAGTGTCTGATTGGTCCATGGACTCGTTGCTTTCATCCTCTGTGTGTTGTGATGTTTGCTGTGGATGTGTTTTTTGTTCTGTGTGTTTTGTTGTGTGCGTGTGATGTCATCACGATGGCGACCTTCTTCTTCAATCTCGCTCTCGCTGTCAGTGTTGTTGTAGTCGTAGTCGTAATTTGGGTTTAGGTTAGAATTTTTACGGTTGGGTCTTAAATTATAACCTTTCTCGGCCATGATTAATTATTGTGCGAATTGTGCGTGATTAATTAGTGTTTTGTATAACGGTTTTGTATTGTTATTGGGGTTGGGAATATTAATTACGGGACGTACAATAGGCTGAGTTCTTACAATCTAGTACAACTTAAGGTTAACTTAGCCTAAATCGAAAATTGCAATATTTTATGACTACCGTAATATATCATTCGAAAGCCGACACGTTGGGTCGCCAAATTTGCTACGCACCATAAAGCTTTCTATAGACTTTCATAAACTTAGGCCTACAAAATTCCTTTGGCTATTAAGTTAGCCCACATTGAACTTGAAGTCATTTCTTTCTTAATAAAGATAATTCCTAATTTGTGTTTTATTTCTGTTTAATAAGGTAAGTTTTTATCTTAATCTTATAATATGAATTATTTTAAGAATAAATAGATTTGATAAGTTACAATATAAAATTTATTAATGAAATACAAATATAAGTTATTGGTTGAATTAGCTACAGGGTAAGTTAACAATGATGGTAAATTTTCAAAATGGTGGGGTTCCAAAGTGGATGAAAAGATTCTCTAGGCTTAGGCCTATATTGGGTTGGTTTCTTCTTAAGTACTGATTAATATTCAAATAGATGACCTCTTAATCTCAGGGAGGGGTGGTCGTGCCGGTTCGAATGATATATTAGGCTTCTTTAAAATGTAGATAATTTAATTTAGTTATTGTTCTGAAATAAGTTAAGCTAGGTTCATCGGTTCATGATGCTATTAATATAATAATGTTAATGTCCAAAGAAAGATTCCAAATGGTTTCACTGAATTTAATGAAATAAAATAGAATTTGAAGATTAAATTTTGAATAAAAGTTCAATTTGAAATATGTATATATCTTGATGAGTTGAGTTAATTTGGCCTAGTAGGCTATGCTGATTAAATGTCCAATGAAGATTAAATTTGTCCTTAGTTAAATAAGATGGATGATGGTTACCAAATTTGGAGTGTCTGTCTTCTTATAAATTGGTACTCTTCAATGCACTTGTCCAATACTTTTGGATGATGAGAAATTTAAATTTTAGGTTTTACTTTGGGATTATGAATTTTAGTTTAAATTAAACACAATTTCCAATAGAATGCAGGCCCACTTTTATAAACGGGCAGACTGGGCATATGCCCAGGGGCGCCGGTGGTTGGGGGGCGCCCGAGGGGTGCCCTGAACCCCCGCCCGCACTAGGAAAAATAGGGTTTTATCAGCCGGGATTTTAAAAATAAAATGGGCGATTTCAACTTCTAGTTAAGTGATTTTCCCTTATTTGCAAAAGTAAATAAATACAACAAAATTGAAAATACTCGACCTTTAGGTTATACCTCGTGTAGTCAGGGAAAAGCAGGCAGCAGTGTGAACCGGGTGCACTCACTACACTATCAGAGGCAGGGAGGCCTGCATGGTGGAAGGAAAATACATAGGTGTGCTATTCCCATCATATGCTGACGTCACTCAGATTGCAAACACTATTTTACCATTTAGAAAAATTGTAAAACAATAACAATCAAATCAAAACAAATACTCATATGGCAATACATCAGCTGATTTTTTGTTTTTGGATGACGTCTGCAAATTACGGGAATAGCATGTAGGCCAGCTGTAGTCTTCAGGCCTACAGTTGACGTGCCCCTCCTCTCCCTCACAGTCCCACCCCCATCCCCACAAGTCACAACTACCAACTACCGCGCGGCGCCAGTCCAGTACAGTAACTCCTCTCTCACTCTCAGTTGTCCGTGTGTTCGTGTTGTGCCTGCTGCACAGTCGTCAAATCAGTCACAACACAACCTAAACTGTGACAGTCACTATAGTCAGTGTTGACACTCACACTGCAGTTAGTGAACCAGTAATAAATAAATAGAGAAGTGTTGATACAATTAAGTAGGCCTATAAACAGTGAAAAATGCATAAAAAACCTAGTGCAGCCGAGAGCCGCAAGCGGTTGGCTCAAAGATAACAATCTCAAGAAGCAGTTTTAAAGGAAGTGAAATGTATTAACCAGTATTTCCATTGATACGGATTTGAAAAGTCCCTCCCGAAACAAAACTGGTAAAAAAACACGCTAATGTATAAATATATATATGCATAGGCCTATAGTAGAACCATGGAAAAAACATACACTCCTTAGTGGAATCTCGTTCAGTACGTGTGTAATACAATGAACTGCACACTGTACTGTACTGAACAGTAATCAAATCACTGCGTAGTGCATTAAGCTATTGGCGCAGGGCAAGAGGCATTCGCATAGCAACTACTGTCAAGTTCTTTGCACTCGCCCCAATTCAATCGATTACCACTTACCATCTTTTTTGTATATTTACCGTCTTGTGAGGAACAGTATAAGCGTAAATATATATATCTTTTAAGTGTTATAAGACGTTTCTCTTATTTACTTTCCGTAACCCCCAACCCACCTGCAGTTAATTTTGGCGAACTGATCAGTCAACCCCCCTTCCCTCTTCACCTCCCTACACTGCTGTGGTAAAAAACCTTTATAGTTATATATATATATATATATATAAGAGGGGCGCTACTTTTGGGTTTGCCCAGGGCGCCACTGACCCTTAACGCGGCCCTGATAGAATGATGTTCACACTGTGAAGAGTTGGCAGGATCTGGGGAGAGGCAATGGTAGAAGCTCAGGAAGTCCATGTCCATTGTTGAAGTGATGTACAGCTGGTTAATTTACATGAATGACACTTGCCACAGTAATTTTGATTTTCTTTGGATAATTTTGAAAAATGATACTATTGTTACAAGTCAGGAGCCCCGCGCAACAATAGCCAGGCGCCGTCTCTAAAGGGTTGTTTGTTTACACGGTTCTCCGAACGCGCCAGTGATAGACATTAGACCCATGTCAACGGACTACGTCAATAGGGGGTTTGACATCTCCAGAAGCTTCCACGGCGATCTGTAAACACCTTTGTCTAGCCTACGAGTAGTCTCTAGAATGTTCTACGGAAAGCTTATATAAGGGACCGTCTTCCGGCACACGGCAGTTGAGTTGAGTTGAGCCTTCCGAGAATCGTCGCGGCAAGCGCCCGTCGGTGTTAGTGACCAGTGCTAGTGCTAGTGGCAGTGACAGTGTAGTGACAGTGTAGTGACAGTGTTGTAACAGAAGTAGTGATAAATCCTGTAGAGGCTAGCTGTAAGTAGAAACGTTGTAAATTAGAATAGGCATTAGCTAGGTTTAGATAGGGTTAGTTAGGTGTTAGGTAATTGTAATATCTGTAAATATAGAATAGTTAGTGTAAATAAATAGTTATTATAAAATCGCCAAGTTTTATTATGAAGAACCTGCTAAGCCCGCAACAATTGGTGTCAGAAAGCGGCATTATTTTGGCGATTTTATTTGTAAAAAAGAATTAAGGATTTTGTTAGATATTAGTAAGATTCAAGGTCTTTGTTACATATTAGTAATTTGTGTCGTAAATTTGTTTACAAAGGATAAAATCATTTATTGTAAAATTGTTGTAATTGTTTTGCATAAAAAATGGCTTTCAAAGGTGTAAAACTTGATGAATTAAAAGTAGCTGATCTTAGGAGAGAATTAGAAGAACGAGATCTAGATACTAGTGGAACTAAATCAGCCCTTCAGGCACGCCTTAAACAAGCTTTAATTGATGCAGGTGAAGACCTAGATAACATTTTATTTGAAACATCTGATTTCAATAAAATGCTTAAAAACTTAGAGTCAAAAATGTCTGAAAATACTAAAACACTAGAATCAAAAATGTCAGAAAATAGCAAAACATTAGAATCAAAAATGTCAGAAAATAACAAAAACTTAGAAGCTAGCATTGAGTCAAAGATGTCAGAAAATAACAAAAACTTAGAAACTAGCATTGAGACAAAAATGTCAAATGTAGAATCAAAAATGCTGAACAAATTAGGTGAATATTCTAGCAAAGTTGATAGTTTAGAAAGTAGGATAAATGAAATCGATGAGAAAGTTAACTGTATAGAAAAGAGTCTAGAAGATAGGTTAGTTGATAAGCTTAGGCAGGAGATGGCTGCATCGGGGAGCTTCACACCTTCGTCATTGGCTAGCACTGACGAACTTCGGCAGGATAACGCCCCAGATACGATCTCCAAGCCAGCGTCCACCATTGCTGCCGTTGCCCCTCAGAACATCGTTCCTCACTTCGACGGCAAAACTCCCTGGGAGGACTACATGCTTCTCTTCGATACAGCGGCTATGGTCCATGGGTGGACCGAGGAAACAAAGGCTTCGACGCTGTGTCTTGCACTACGGGGCGATGCGTTAGCTGTTCTGCATGCTATGCCAATGGCGGAGCGGAAGAATTTCGCTGAACTAGTGAAGAAGATTGGACATGCGCTTCGGGCATCGACACATGGACCAGCTTTACCGATCTCAATTGCGGAACCGGATCCAGAAACCCAGCGAGTCACTTCAGGAGTTTGAAGCCGACATTGCTCGCCTGGTGAGAAACGCCTATCCATCGGTCACGGATGATGTCTACGAGAGTTTGGCGGTGGATAAATTCCTAGACGGTCTACGTGAACCTGAGACTCAACAGGCAGTGAAGCTCGCCAGACCAAAGACCCTGAGTGACGCACTGACACAGGCACTGGAGTTCGAGGCTGTACGGCAGTCGGTGAGAGGTCAGGCCCGAGTCCGTGTGGCAGACGCAGAACCTACATCTCCACTCGACATCGAGGAGCTGGTGAAACGAGTTCTGGAGGCGCTAAAAACACGTCGCCGGCAGATACGCTGTTGGAGCTGTGGACAGATGGGACATCCCCGGAGTAAATGTCCTTCGACTACATCAGAACCGAAGCAGGAAAACTAAGGAGGGTTGATGGAAAGGGGCAACCGTCAGCCCGCAATTTGACAGCCCCGAGGAATAGTGTAAAAGTTGCTTCACTGGGAAGTCAGTCAAGCAGTTTCTACATCGACGGAAAGGTGAACGGTCGTCTCCAAAGCTGTCTTCTGGATACCGGGGCGACTATGACAATTCTGA